AAGTCTGCCTGTACAGCTCCATTACAGTAGTACTTTTGATTTATTCTTTTGACATACTTGTGATAAACCTGCCTGGAAGAAGAAAGGGACTGATACACACACTCTCTCTCACACTCATGTATGATGAGTTGAAATGTGTATCACTTCCATCTGGGAAGGACAGGAACCTCTCCAGCAGATAGCTTTTTCTGACCTAGCAAACAGGAGTGTCTCCAGACACTAAAATACAAAGTCAGCTTGTTGCAAACAAGAAGAGTAGCAACCTCAGATAAATGCTAAGATTCTCAGAGAAGCACAGGGGAAAAATGCCATTATGTGAAAAACTTAACTACATCATATGAAATTTATACCGAACTTCTTGCTTGCTTTCTAGCAATGAATGACCAAGTACTAAGAACCTGCTCAGCACCTTCAGATACCAACAACATCACCAAAGCAGAATGCCACTACTCCTGCTATATTGTGTCTTGCTGCCAGGCAGATATGTGACTCACAATCATTTGAGAGAAATTACACTGTAACCACTAAAAACTGAAAGACAGCATACTTCCTAAGTCATGCTCCTCACTACTCATCATTCAATTAAAAGTGGGCACAGAGCACACAGATGGGCAGTCTGTGAGGAAAACAAACATGTACAAGCATATCCAAGAGCTCTGTACGCCTACAGGCATGTCTCTTCCCACGTCGCTGTGGTGATACACGTACAAGTGGTCAACATGGAAGCTATTCACGTGTTTGTGAGTGGTGAGGTACAATGGAAATACATCCTCTAGCAGATGTGTGAGACAATAATAATCTCTGCCATCATCCCAGCCAAGAAACCAAAGGAAATAAACTGAAAAACATCAACATCGACCATCCGGCAATTAATTTACCATAAAGAAGCCATCAACAAACGCAAAATGTCACTTATCTCTTTTCTTCTGTTTAATTAACAAAGAAGCCTTAATTACTTTCTAGTCAGAGCTGCTCTTACCATTTTAGCCACTCACTGCAAAGGTAAAATTACGACGAGAAAAGTGGGAACTGAAGATCCTGTTTCTTTTATAATATTTTTTTTCATAATACTCAGAACTTGTTCTGTTTTAGATTTTTCTCACCAATTTCAAAAAAAATGCCAAATAATCATCACAAGCATGTCAAGTGTTATAAAATGTCAAGCACTATGTAGGTGGTGTAGCCACCCCCTTTTTAAAACTACAGCAAGAGGGTGTGTTTCCACCTGCCACTCTACTGACAACAACAAATTGAACAAAAAATTCTTTCTAGCTCTACATGAGAGGACAACACAGTAAAATTAAATGCACCCAGTCTCTCGCTCCAAGATGAACAAAGACCACCAGAGGGGCATCATCTTCAGCTCTGGGAAGCGGCAGCAGTTCTGTGCATCACTTGATAACTATCCTCAGCAAGTAGAGAAGCACTTTAAGAAGCACAGGCAGCCCTGACCTCCGTAAAAATATAGTGACTACACCAATATGAAAAATCGCCTTTCCATTCTGTAACATTTCTGAGATTTGAAAAATGGTTTGCTTTGTATCAGAATGAAACTATATCCTTTTATGTTAT